GCCCGACTGGACGGAAGCAGGGTCTCTGGTGGGAGGCAGCATAAATGTCCCCTGCATCAGAGAAGGTGTTGGCCCTGGAGAGTGAGGGAAGGGGAGGCTCTGAGCTGCTGGTGGATCTCCTGACTCGCCCACAATGCAATAGGGCTCCCCTGTTCCCTCACATACGCCCCGCCCCATGTCTGAGGATACAAAGGTGGGGGGCCTTCTCCACCCTACCTTGGGGGCCACAGATGGAGAATGAGCACGAGCCATCGCATCTCCTCCCCTCACTCCGGTTCCCGGGTGCTGTGGCCAGTGCAGGAGCTACACAGCCGGAGGGAGGCTCATCTCATTCACTGGGACAGGCAGCTGGGGCTCTGACCCCGTCCCTGCCAGCAGGACCGGAAAGCCAGGGAGTTCTGACTGTAGTGTGTCTCGTGTCTGCCCCCAGGCCAGGGCGGGAGCCTCCTCACCCCCCTACCCGTTCCCTCCGCACATTGAGAAGCTCGTTTTTCTAAGACCGGACCGTTCTCCCATGACATCCGAATACCTGCTTTGTGCCAAGACTGGGGTGCAGCAGTGAGCAAAACAGACCTTGTAGAGTTTCCAGATGGGAAGACAATCAGACAACTACAAACTGATAATATGCTATGGGAAAAGCATGTATAACACAGGAGTCAGATCTTGTCTGTAGGTCATAGAGGGCTTCCCGAAAGAGGCAGCATGTAAGCTGAGATCAGAAGGATGATCAGGAGTGGGGGGTGGGCAGCAGCATTCCAGGAAGAGATGCCCGGACAGGAGGTAGGACAGCTTGTTCCGAGCTCTCTGGAAAGATGGTGAAGATGGGCGGTGAGCCTTGAGGTGGAGAGGGACGCAGGAGCGAGGGTTTGGCTTTTATCGCACCGAGAGCCACGGGGAGCCTGTGACAGCTCTGAGCTACTGGTGAAGTTCCGGGGAGCACAGTGAGGACTGATCAACGTAGGAGAGGATGGTGGGAGTGGAAGGCCTCCAGAGGGATGTGAGGTAAAGCTGAGTGAACTTGCCAATGGATTCATAATGTAGGTGAAGGAGGGAGCGGGGCCACTGCGACCCCTGGTCAGCAGGATGGCTGGGGGTGCACCAGGAGACTCCCGTTCTGAAGGAAACATCGTGAGTTCTGTGAAGGACACGCTGTTTCAGGTGTGCCTTTGAACTGCCAAGAGGCCATGAGCAGGTTGTTGGAACCCAGAGGCTGGAGCGGGGAGTCAGAGTTACCAGCGTGGGGCTTGGATCTAAAGCCATGGACAAGGAGGAGGTCACTTTGGGAGGATGTGCAGAAGAGGAGATGTCCCAGGACCATGTCTGGGGGTGCTCTGAACATTCAAAGGCCTAGGAGAGGAGGCTGACGAGGCAAGATAGAGAGAGGGAGGCAGCAGAGTGCCCTGTGACAGGCGAGGGACAAGCCAGCAGGTCCCCTCTTCCCAGAAGACCACACGGAGCCTGCTGCTGGTGTTGGCCACGAGGAGGTCGCTGGTGGCTTTAGCAAAACCTGGGTTTGCAGGGGTGCAGATTCGAGGCCTGGCTAGAGGAGGGTGCGAGCCAAGTGGGAAGGTCGCCAGTCTTGGGAGATCCAGCCGTAAGAAGAGGAAAGTGGATGAGGTAGAAGATTGGAAGGAGGCAGAGGCGTGGGCCGGTCTGATGCCAGAGGGAATGACACTTGCCTTCTGGCCGTGCCTACTTGCTGAGCGAACAGAAAAGAAAGGTGCAGGAATGGTAGTGACCGAAGGGGGAGCCTTCCTGAGAGCACAAGGGCGTGGCCTGTGACGGGAGCCCACGTCCTGATGAAGGGCAGAGGGAGCCATGGGCGATGCCCCGGTGGCGGGGCAGGGAGCACTGGTTTAGAGTTTGCTGATGCCCATGGTATGCTCTCGCCACAGCCCATGTCAAGCTCCCAACCTGACCTCACTGAAGGCACATCTGACCATTGGCTCACGTTCAGAAATCTGCATTGGGTCAGGAGCAGGATGCAGGAAGGGGCAGGAAAGGGCAGTGTCCAGCGAATAACGGGCTGCGGGAATGCAGGCCCAGGTAGCCCGGTGCTCCCAGGCTTTCCGCCTGGTGCTGTGTGAGTCCTCCCCATCCCTTCCTGACTTCCTTTCTCTCACTTGGTTTGTGGCTCTCTTGTTCCCTCCTTTCTTTTCTCCCATCCTTGTCTTCTGCTCTATGCTGGCTGCTGGCGTATCACAGAGGGCAAAATGGAGTTCTTCCCCTCAAGGAGCTGGTGACTAATAGGGATCCCACTCAGGCTCAACTTGGTGCCCAGAAATCTGGTGAGGTGGAAGAGGCAGGAGGCGCGAGGTGGCTTCTCCGACACGTGGACATCAGGCAGGGACAGAGAATGAGGTGTTTCCGGCAAAGGAAGGGCACTGCCTGGGCGCAGTGCTGAGGTGCCCTGGCTGGATGACGTGCTGAAGCGCAGCTGGGCCCAAGGAGCCAATCAGGGTCTTTTGGGAGGAAGTAAGGCTGGAGAGAACGCAGGGCCCAGACCCCGCTGGCTTTGCAGGCCCTGTGAATTTAACTTCATACAAAGATGGCCAGGAGCGCCTGTGTTGAGGCACAAGCAAGGAGTGGTGTGGTCCGATCTGCATTTTAGAAAAATAATTCTGGTTATAATCTGGCCCTGGGGGGTGGGAGTGTCCAGAGTGGGGTCAGCGAGACAGAGAGGAGGCTATGGTCACCCAGGCAGGAGGTGACTGGTGGTGGCCCGGACTGGGGAACCCATAGGAGGCAGAGAGGAAGGTGAACACAGCTGACGTTGTACTGAGCTGAGGGCTCACTGCCTGCCAGGCCTTACTGTCTATGCACACTGCATGTGTCATCTCATGTCCCCCTCCTATCAACTTCTGGGGATATATGCCATTATTACCCCATTGTAAAGATAAAGAAAAGGCTTGGGGATCAGAGGATCAGGTAAGGTAACATAAGAGTAGCAAGAACAACTTGAAGAGCTCGCTCCGGCTTGACAAAGTGGGGGTTGCCATCCATGAGACCCTAGCCCTGGACCAGGAGGGGCCGGAGCCTGGAGACCGTGAGTCTCTTTTGGACACGTTGTCTGGGGGCCTTTGTGACATCCAAGCAGAGATGTCCCCTTAAGAGTTAGACACTCATCCAGGCCCGCAGCTCTGGGACAAGCCAGGTTGACTATAAGAGGTTTGGGGTTCATGAGCATAGCAAGAGCGCTAAAAGCCACGGACGTGGGCGAACTTGGCCAGGAACCAAGCGGAAAGTGAAGAGAGGCACAAACACGGGAGCCCCAGTGTGAGGGGCCAGGAAGGAAGGGCAGCAGCAAAGGGGCAGCTAAGGGGGGCTGTCAGGGGCAGGGGAGTCCTGCGGGGAGCGAGGAAGCTTCTCAGAGCATAGGGGAGGGGAGACGAGGAAGTGGCTGTTCACACCATTCCACACTACAGAGACAAGTTGAGTGTCCATTAGAAGCACAGAACAGGGGTCACCGTCAGGCCTGGGCTGGAGCAAGAAGGACGGAGTGGCAGGCGAGGGAGCAGGGCCAGACCCGGGCCCTCCTTTCCACCGCATGGCCGTGGAGGTGAGGGGCCAGCCAGTGGAGGCGGCTGAGGGCTTACTTACTGTTGAGAAATGAAAGTTTTATTTTCGCATGTCCTAAAATTTTCCATGTACCTCCTTGATTTTAATTAATTCGTAGAGCTTCAGGCACAGAACCCTACCGGGAACTTGCAAAGCACAGTAAAACTTCAGCCAGCCGGAATCCTGAGTGAACGAGCCACTCTGGAAAATGAACATTTATCGGAGTGAAAATACGTGGAAGAGAGGCTTTCTTTTTAAAAACATTTTCAGTATGGAAATAATCATACAAAATATGCAGTAGGGAGAAGACTATAATGAACCCCCACAGCCTCCCAATCCCACATGAACAGCCGCTCCAGGCCAGTCCTGTGCCCTCCACACCCCGCCTCCCCCAAACTCTGAGACGCTTGGAAGCAAATCCTAGACATGTTATCAGTTCACTTGTACAGCTTTGGTACGCTTCTCTAAAAGGCAAAATGCTTTTTTAAAAAAATGTAACCACAATACCATTATTACTCCTAAAACCTTTAAACAATAATTCCTTAATTTAATCAAGCATTCATTGTTCAGATTTCCCTAACAGTCTCATTCCACCCTCCCCTCCAAGTTGGTGGGTTAAAATTAGGCTCCAAACAAGTTTGCACAATTGCACGTATTTGCTCTGTCAAAACCCCCCTTTCTTTCCCGTTTCTTTTTTTTTTTTTTAATTTTAATGTTCATTTATTTTCAAGAGAGAGAGACAAAGTGCAAGCAGGGGAGGGACAGAGAGAGAGGGAAACACAATCCGAAGCAGGCTCCAGGCTCTGAGCTGCCGGCAGGGTCCGATGTGGGGCTCAGAGTCACGAACCACAAGATCATGACCTGAGCCGAAGTGGGACGCCCAACCGACTGAGCCACCCAGGTGCTCCTCCCTTTTTTTTTTTCTTCATGTAATTTATGTGTCAAGGAAACCAGGCTGCCTGGAGGTATGTGGGTTTGGGTACGTGGGGCAGAGCTGGGCACCACAGCGGCGCGAGCAGGACAGGAAGTCCGGGGTCGGCAGGACGATGGCCAAACGGTCGGGACTTCCATCTGCGGGCAGGAGGCAGGATGTGGAGGCCCATCCTGAGCAAGGGGAGAGGCCAGGGCTGCTGAGGGCTGGGGCCCGTCCTCATGATCCCTGAGGCCATTCGGCTGCCGGAGCTGAGAAAGGGTAGAAAGACGGCCAGGGCCCAGGAATGGGGCAGAGCCAGGTGGGCGACAGGTCAGGGGTCAGGCTGGAGATGACGAAGGGGCTGGGCTTGAGGTCAGGCCTAGAAGGAACAGGGTGTCTGTGTCGGGGATGAAGGGAGAGGAGAGTGCCAGAAACCAGCTCCTCCCCACCGGGCCCAGTCCCCGGGGCCCCTCCCCTGGCCTCCCAGCTGCAGCTCCACCCTGGGGCCCAGACACCAGTTCCCTCCACAATGCTGGTGGTCAGTGGCCCTGACGCCTTGTTCTGCCTTCTCCTCCTGCTGCTCCTGGGCTCCCACAATCCTGTGGGGGCCAGTCCTCCCCAGAGAAGGTTTGAGTACAAGCTCAGCTTCAAAGGACCAAGACTGGCGTTGCCTGGGGCTGGAATACCCTTCTGGAGTCACCATGGAGGTGAGGGGCGGGGTAGGGACCAGCCATGCCCAGGTCCCCGCATAGGGCTGGAGGGGCTGACCAGCTCTGGGCGGCTGTGCCTGCCGGTACCAGCCTCTGCCCAAGACAGGACCCCAGGACCCCTCCCAGGCTTGTTTCCTGTTCCACCCACCACAATCCCACCCCGTCCGCTAGTCTCCATTTCTCCTCTCCGCCTCTCTCCTCTGCCCTAGGATTTTCCTCTTTTCCTTTTGCTTCTCCTCGGACCCCCTCTTCTTCCTCTGCCTCTTGGGCCCCTAAACACACGCATGCTCACGTCCTGAGTCCCAGACACACAGACACAGGGCAGCCGGGACCAGCACCAACCTCCCTTCTCTCTGCTCCTTGCTGCCGAGCCTGTGGCTGTCCGTGAGGATGGGGGGACTGCCCGAAGGGAGGCACCCTCGTGGCCAGCTGCTTTGCCAGAGAGGACGCCAGGTCTGCCCTGTGTGTGTGTTGGTTGGAAGCAGGCATGAGAGCATCTTAACTTCAGGAACTTCCAAACCCAGACCCTACAAAGAGTCTGTCTTCTCGATCTTGTTCATAGAGGATTTGTGGGGACTTACAAGGACCTACGCAGTAGCAGGAGCTTAAGTCAGGAAGGAGCAAGAAGAATGAGACTTGGTTAGGGCCAAGGCATGAAATGAATCCAGGGACATGGCTGGTTGCCAAAATACGCTGTGAGGTCTGCCCACCCTTCAGAGTTGGGCCATAGATCTGGTTCAGAGGCACCTAGCAGGCAAAGCGAAAAGAGAAAGCAGATCCATTATGTATGTCTGTGTCTATGAGATGTAAGTTCTGAGAAATGGCATGATTCCTGATGGAGAACAGAACAGGGGGACGACAGGCCCTTTCAGGAGAGTCTTGGCCCAATCTTCCCTCACAGAGGCATGGGAGGTAAACAAAGGAAAGGGCTGATTCCCACAGCAACAAGCCAGGCCCTGCCTCAAGCCTGGGATGGCAGGGCCTGTAGGGCACTCACTGCCTGCCAGGCGCCTTGTCAAGTCAGGAGTGTCACAGACGGCAGCGGGGAGCAGAGGCGCATCCTCCAAGATCACGCAGTGATATGCTCACTGTCCATTCATTCATTCCCTCACTCACTCATCCTTATTGTTAGTCTTCCGCCACCATGCCCCTCTGTGCCCAGGCCAGAGACACAGGGCAGAGTCAGACTCGGGGAGCCCACACTTTGGGCAGTCCTTGCCTCCTACAAGTCACTTCAGGGGAGGCGGTGGCTTCGAAGGCCCCCGGGACTTCTGGCCTTGCAGCCTCCCAGCATCCCTGCCCCCAGCCCTGGCCTTTGCTGAGCAAACAGCCTGGATTAGCAGCCTCCGGAAAGTCCTGGCAAGGACTGGGCCTTGGGCCAGGTTCCAGGCTGGCAGGCCAGAGGGGTGGGGAGCCAGCTGGGGTGAGGCCTCTGAGCTCCCTTCCTCTGATTCTTGCCAAGCCTGCCTCAGTTTCTCTGCCCTTTCCTTCCTCTTACCAGATAGGCCTCCCCCGCCCCGGCCGCTGTGAATTCTCTCCCACACGCTCCCTTTCCTCACAGCCCTGCCAGCCACTCCTCACCCTTGCTCTCAGGCTCTCCTCACCTTGCAATGTCCCCTGGGGACCTGCACCAGGAACCTGCCCCACGCCCTGCCCCTCCCCTGCCTCAGTGGGCCACCCTGGAGTGTCTCATGTTCTCACCGCCTGGAGTCCTAAACCCCAACATGACTGTTTGCACAAACTACTCTCCTGTGTCTGGTGGCTCCGGGCATGTCCTTTCCTTCACGGGGCCTGTTTTCTCGCCTGAGAAACAGAAAGGGGTGGACGCAAATCTCTCTTGTCGGAAAAACTTGTAAAGGTGTCACTGGAACATGGCAGGGGTCAGGGGCGCCGACCCCACACACAGCGGAAAATTCGAGTATAACCTGACTCCCCCAAAGCTTAACTGCTAATAGCTTTACCAATAACATAGACAGTCGAGTAACACATATTTTGTGTGTTGTGTGCATTATATACTGTGTAAGGTAAGCCGGAGAAGAGAAGAAAATGTTATTAAGAAAATCATAAGAAAGAGAAAATACATTTACAGTATCGTGCTGCATTTATCAAAAAAACTCCACATCTAAGTGGACCGTGCAGTTCAAAGCTATGGACTCAGGGGGAGCGGGGTTCCAATCCATTTAGTTCCTTAACTTCTCTGAGCCTCATGTGTCAAGTGGGTTTTATAAAAGCAGGCGGCATAGATGTGTGGTGAGGCTTACGTGGCAAGGGCCCACCCGCTCTGCTGGGCTCCTTGCCCCACTTCTTCAATGGGCTCCCGTGTCCGACAGCCGGCCTGTCATTTAATGGCAGGCCTTGACGTTACTCCCTTCCTCCCTCGAAGCCCAGCCCAGGCCAGTGAGGGAGCGTGATGGGGGAGTAGGGGACGGCGGGGACCCCGCCCTGAGCTGCCCTGGTCACACAGACGCCATCCCGGGCCTGGAAGCGGTGCGGCTGGCCCCATCCATGCAGAACCGCAGTGGCGCCGTGTGGAGCAGGGACCCTGTCCTCTTCTCCGCCTGGGAGGTGGACATGCAGATGAGGGTGACTGGGCCAGGGCGGCGGGGAGCCAAGGGCATGGTGAGTGGCCCCAACCGAGGCCCGGAGGAGGGGGTGAGTCAGGGAGGGGGGTGGTGAGCCCAAGCTTCCAGTGTCCCGCAGGGTCCCCTGGGCTGAGCAGCTGGGGCCCCGCAGGCCATGTGGTACACCCGGGGCAGGGGCCAAGTAGGCTCTGTCCTGGAGGGGCCGGCCTCGTGGGATGGCATCGGGATCCTCTTCGACTCCTCCAGCGAGGACACCCAGGTGAGTAGTGATCTCCTGCCCCACCCCCATCCCCTTCCTCCCCCTCCCCCAACCTGGTACCCATGGCTCAGGCTGCCTGTCATCTCCCATGCAGAACAGCCCCACCATCCGTGTGCTGGCCAGTGATGGGCACATTCACTACGAGCCACGTGGGTAAGGGCCTGTCCGGACTGACCCATACCTCGTTCCTGGGCCCCGGGGGCCTCAGCGGCTACCCACACTGTGTACGCCAGGCCCTGCTCAGCTCAGCTGATGGCTGCTGCCCTGGAACTCCCTCTGCCTTGTTAGCTCATAACAATTAGAGTAATTGCTAGCATTTATGGAGCGGGCTTACCTGTCTGCAGGGCACAGCGCCAAGCACTTCACATTCATTGTCTTAGCGAACCCTCATAACAATGTTATGAGGTAGTTCCAATTATTATCCTCATTTTAAAGATGGGGGAACTCGGTTTGGAAAGATGTGGTCATTTGCCCAAGGTCACACAGCTAGAGTGCACATCACAGAGCTGGCTTCTCCCTGCTCTGGCAGGCCTCCCTCTTGGCCTGAGGCGGAAGTGCCTTCTGTGTGTCTGTCTGTGCGCCCAGAGAAACCTGGCACCTCTCAGGCCTGCAGAACTTGGCTCTTGTTGTCTGTCCTGAGTCTGTCCTGCTGCAGATCAAGCCCAGCAGAAAGGAGAGGAAAGGGGAGCCCTCCCCAGAGGCGCAGGGGGACTTGGAGTCTAGGGGAGAGACAGTCGGTGGTGGGGTAGCGGGGAGCAGGGGGGGGAGGGGGGTAGAGCTCCACTGTTGCTCCAGGCTCTGTCCCCGAGGGAAGAGTCACAGGAAGGCCTTGGCGTCTCCTGCCACTCCCGCTAAAGAAGCAAGGAAGACTCACGCTGGACAGCAGGGACACGTTCCATCCCGGGTGACCCGTGAGGGGGGGGGTGGTGCTGTAGGCCTGGGCAGAATGGCCCCCGGGACCACCCCCACTGGCCAGGCCTTGGGTCCCGTGCGGCCCAGCTAGACTCCAAGTGCCCACAGGGATGGAGCCAGCAGGGTGCTGGGCTCCTGCCACCGAGACTTCCGCAACCTGCCGACCCCCCTCAGAGTGCGGATCACCTACTGGGGTCAGAGGCTGCGCGTGAGTAGCCCTCCCTGCTTTTGCAGACTCTCCGGGTAGGGAGTGCAGACTAGAGGACTCGGAGCTGCGGAGTTGCAATGGGAGCGCCCCGGGTCTCAACGGACTCGGGCCTGGGACACCACACAGGGGTCCTGGCACATACAGGTGGCACCCACAGGGGACCCACCTCCCCGCGCAGACTCCTAACTCCCAGAGCACATACTTCCGAGGGCTGGCGTGGGACCCCGCAAGCATGCCCCTGCACGCCACGCCGACACCAAGCTGGGCGGCTGCCCGCCCAACCTTAGAACCAGGGAACCCGATGAATCAGAGGTGGGGGGTGATAACCCGCTGCTGGGGTCAGGGGAGGGGCGGGGGTTCCATCCGCCAGGGGCTCACTCCTCTGCGCCCCGCAGGTGTCCTTGAACCGTGGCCTCACTCCCGACAACTTAGATGAGGTCTGTGTCGACGTGGGTCCCCTGCTTTTGGCTCCTGGAGGTTTCTTTGGGGTCTCGGCAGCCACTGGCACCCTGGCAGGTGAGGGCCTTCTGGGCAGGTAAGAGCGGAGGAGTGGTACCGAATGAAACATCCCAGCACACCTTCTAAAGAGCTCTGGGTATAGGGCCAGCCCCTTCCTCTCTGCGTGGTTTGGGCAAGTCATGCGCCCTCTCTGGGCCTCTGTTACCATCGGGGCAAGGTCATGTCTGCCTTGCAGAGTCGCCGAAAGTCTCAAATAGGATAGAGCACAAGAAGCTCTTACTCCAGAGGCACCTGGGTGGCTCAGTTCGTTAAGTGTCTGACTTTGGCTCCGGTCATGATCTCACGGTTCTTGGGTTCGAGCCCTGCAACAGGCTCTGTGCTCAGAACCTGGAGTCTGCTTCAGATTCTGTGTCTCCCTCTCTCTCTGCCCCTCCCATGCTCACAGTCTCTCTCTGTTTCTCAAAAAAAAAAAAGAAGCAGCAGCAGCTTTTACTCCAGGGATGGCCCTCTGAGTGGCCCAAGCTGGGAACAAGTGGAAGAGGGACGCCGTGAGGACACTGAGGAAACTAAAAGGGTGTAACACAGGAAGGGTCCAGGGAGGGACCCGCAGCTGGAAAGCAGGGTGCAGTCTGAGAGTGGGCATTCTTGAAGGCCTGGACTTCAGTCTTTAGATCCTGAGCACTAGGGAGCCACGGAAGTTTCTGAGGAGGAGAGTGGCATGGTCTCAGAGCCATGCTGAGGAGGTGGCCATCGTGTGTTGCTTCTGCCACCCTGGGGCCTGAGGGTGTCACGCAGTCTGTTGCCGTGGCTCTAACCCCAGACTGTCCAGTTTTCCCACTCACTGTGGGCCCACCCAGGCTCTGCGTGTCCACCCAGCTGCTTGTCTGCCCCTCACACCTTTCCTGTGAAGAGAGCAAGACGAGGGTCAGAGCTGCCCAGAGTCACCCAGATTTCCTGCCTGCCTGGAATATAATGGAGGCTGGGGGGTGAGGGGGAGGGCTGAGTAAGTGGGCTCCTGGGTGAGGCGGGGGTCTTACCTTCCTTTCTCTACCCCCTCCCCCCCCCCCAGATGACCATGACATCCTGTCTTTCCTGACCTTCAGTCTGAATGAGCCGGATCCAAAGGTGATGCCAGCCCTGGGCCAGCCTTCAGGGATTGCTGGGGGAGAGACAGTCCAGGGGCCCCGCCCCAGATGTTTCTGCCTGTGTCATGGTGCAGCCAGCCCTGTCATTCCAGCTGATATCTCTACTGATCTCTCTCTTTCTCCCTCTCTCTCTCTCTCTCTGTGAGCTGCTCAGACCAGGCCTTGTCCAGAGTAGTGCTGGGGGCCGCATGTGACCTAGAGCTAGGCCCTGTCCCCAACCACTCCCAGGCTGGCTGAGAGCTGTGGGAACATAGAGGACAGGTCCTGACCAGCTGAGGGAGCAGGGAAGGCCACCCAGAAGGAAGGCGTGAGCTTGAAAGGGCAGAGAGAGTAGCTAAGTGGAGGAGCAGCACAGACAAAGGTCTGAGTCCTGAGAGCGTGGGGATCGGCAGCAGCGGAGCCTGAAACCGCAGGGCCTGGTGGGCGGTGTGCTTCTTCCCTGGGTGGGATGAGTGTTGGGTCTGGGGGCGGGACTGGACTGGTGGAGGCCCCGCGGGAAGGCTCCCCCCACCCGCAGCTCTCCCATGGGGCTCAGGCCTGAGTTTTGGATTCTCCTTCCAGCCTTCCCCACCGCCCTTTCTGGAGATGGAGCAGCTCCGGCTGCTGAAGCAGCTGGAAGGGCTTCGGGCAAGGCTGGCCCTAGGCACCAGGGAGGATGTGATTCCAAAGCTGAGCTCCGAGGTCCAGGAAGAGGGTAGGGACCCAGGGAGCAGGCAGGTGAAGTAGGGGCCCATTTGAGCGTCACAGGATCCTCTTCCCTTGGGATCAGGAGGGCTTTAACCAATCGGGAGATGAAGGCCCGAGGAGGCCACGTCTAGCAGACCCTGAGGCCCAGGCTCTGTCCCGTCCCCACCCCACCCCCCAGACATCTTTCCAGGGGAGAGTTGGAGGCCAAGGCATGCTTTTCTGCCCCTCCTCTCCAAGAAGCCCCCAAAGCTAGGATCTGCTACCCCAGTGCAGCGGGCTGCCTATCCCAGCTGTGCCCTAATCTCCAGGGGAAAGGATCCTTGGCCTGGAAGAGACGCTGGGCAGATACAACCAGATCCTGCAGGCTCTCCAGGGTCTCTCCAGACAGTTGACCCAGGCTGAGAAGCAATGGAGGAAGCACCTGGGGGTCCCCGGTCACACCAGACCTGAGGGAGACTGGGTGAGTGGCCCCTTGGGCACCCAAGGCCCTGCCTGCAGGCCTGGAAAAGCAAGCTCCCCAGGCACTGGGTCCCTGGTACCAGTGGGCTCCCTCAGTCCAGAAAGAGGAGCAAGCACTATACTTCAGAACTAGTCTCCCCCCAAGGTCTGGAGGGAAAGGTGGGCAGGGGTGCAGTGCTGCAGGCTGCAGGGTGGGGTGGACCTGCCAGGAGGGCGGGTGGGTAGCCCTGCATGAGCAAATGCCCATGGATCCAACCGGCCGGGGCTGCAGAGAGGCGATGCCAGGTATTTGGACACGGGTCCAGACAAGTGCCAGAAATAGACTGGGTGCTAATTTGCATGTAGTTCCGCATGTGATTTGGTTCCCATACGGCTTGCTTAATGCTCAGACGCACCAGAATCCTCGTTTTTATCTCCACTGCCATTCTGGCTTCTCCTCCAAAGAGTCATGCCCCACGGCAGGCCCAGCCTGGGGCCCGAGAGCTGAATTCAGTCAAGCTGTTGGATGCTGGGCAGAAGAGGCCAAGGGCCTCCTGTGGGCTTTGCTGGGCTCTGGCAGCTCAGGGTTTACATCTTATGTCCGCAGGCCAGAGCAGCTGAGGCTGGGCAGCTGGAGTGGGGAAGTGGGGATGGGGCCACACTCCAAGGCTAGGCCTCTGTGACCCTACTTCCAGGCCCAGAACTCCTCCTGCCAGATTCTATCCACCCCAGAGAGGGGCGGCCACTTCTCCAGTCCACTCACCAAGACAGAGGCCCAAGCACTGAGATCTGCTCCCCACCAGCCCCATCCTGAACTTGCCCTGTGGTTGGGGTGGGGTGGGAGGGGTGGGAGGTAGAAGACTGGACTGGGCCTCTGACTCCTTTAAAGACAGAACCACTTCTGGAAAGGGGAGAAAGCCCGTGACCCTCGGGGCAACGGGGAGAATTTGAGAGGAGGGGGAATCCAGAAGCCCAGATGGACAGGGATAACTCAATGTGTCAGATAATGTCCAAACTGAAGAGGGGCCAGGTGAGCTGCAAGGCCTTCCAGAAGGAAGGCGGCTACAGTGTCTTTCGGGAAGGTAGACCCTGAGAAGAGAGGGGCTGTGCCCTGGGCCCTAGAGAACAGGCTGGAACTACTGCAGGACTCTGCCAAGGTCAGCGCCCTGCTCCGTGGACAGAGGACTCTGCTCCAGGACCTGCAAGAGATGAGGTAAGGGCACCTGCAAGGAGGGGTGTGGGGGAGGGGCAGAGAAGTCCTGCTCCACCCACTTGCTCAGCCTCAAGCTCCTCCGTGGGCCCCCTAGTCCTTTCCTCACTTCCTGAGCATCCAGCACAAAGCCTGGCACATCGGGAGGGGCCGGGGCAGAGTTAGGTCTGTCCAGATGACCTGGATTTAATTGAATCAAGTTAAAATTGTTGTTTTTTTAAGAATTTTTCAACTTCTTGGGGCACCTGGGTGGCTTAGTCGGTTAAGCATCCGACTTTCCCTTAGGTCATGATCTCGCAGTTCGTGGGTTCGAGCCCCGCGTCGGGCTCTGTGCTGACTGCCAGCTCAGAGCCTGGAGCCTGTTTCAGTCTGTGACTCCCTCTCTCTCTGACCCTCCCCTGCTCACGCTGTCTCTCTCTCTCTCTCCTAAAAATAAATAAAACATTAAAAAAAAATTAAAAAAAAAAAAGAATTTTTCAACTTCTTTAAAAAAATTTTTTACTGTTTATTTTTGAGAGAGAGAGACAGAGAGACAGAGTACGAGCAGGGGAGGGGCAGAGAGAAAGGTAGGTACAGAATCTGAAGCAGGCTTCAGGCTCTGATCTGTCAGCACAGAGCCCAACATGGGGCTCAAACTCATGAACCATGAGATCATGACCTGAGTTGAAGTCGAACGCTAGCCACCCAGGTGCCCCAAGCTTAAAGTTTTGAACATCCTAATTTAAAAGTAACTCTCCCAGGGAGGGTTGGTAAATCGGAGCCTTCCCCCAATGAGGGGATGTTTTGATGGTGATCTTGGAGGAACCATGACTAAGATCATGCCCAGCTGAAGGGGGCAGTCCCCGACTTCTTTTTGTCTCCCTATAGCCTCTCAGCACCCCACTCTAGGCCAAGCCCAGGGAGCTACCCATGGAGTTCTGGGTGGTCACCTCGATGCTATGGAGCAGGGAAGCTTCAGGCTGGATGCTGGATTCTGAGTCCCTCATCCACATCTAGATGCTTGGGGATGGGAAGATGGGAAGAGGGAGAGGAACTAAATCCCCTGGGACCTGGGGATGGGAAACAAAGCCCAGGGAGCCTGGAGTTGAAACAGACAACTTTAGGGAGACCCTTCTCTGAGCTAAAGCTGTCTGAAGATATAGGAAGAAGGTTTGGATGGTACCTGTTTCCCACCAGGTGCTGCAGTTAGGGATTGTGAGAAATGGTTAGGAGGCTTGGGTGCAACCAGAAGAGATAATGAGTCATCTCCCTTGGTTTCCACCCCCCACCAGGGATGCAGCTGCCCACGTGGTCTCCAAAGCCCAGCTCTTCTATCTGCCTGTAGGCACCCAGCATCATTTCTTAGAGCTGGCCCAGATCCTCAGCCTCCTGCAGAGGGACCTTCGGGCCCCATTGGTGAGAGGGAAGGAAGGGTACCATGGGGGCCCCATCCTTGAAGTCCTGGCTCAGCCCCCTTCTTCCAGCACTTCTGCATCCCCAGACCCCTTGTGCCCTTGCGCTCCCCTCCCAGAACTGCTGGCAGGCAGCACCTGTATCTGTGCCTGTGTCTGTGATGCAGCTCTCATCTTCTCTCTGCCCTCTCTGCATTCTGGAGAGTCCCACAGACTCTCAATGGCAGCAAGGCCTTGGAGACCATTCGGTTCAACCCCCTCCTCAGTGACCAGATGGGAAACGGCAGTACTAGAGCTCAATGGTGGAACCCTCTCCTCCCTGTGTCCCTGGCCCATCTTGCTCTTACCTTTGCCCTCTCCATCACCTTGTCTTTCACTCTCTACTTCTTTCTCATCTCTAGAGCCTTCAGACCCCTGCTGATCCCTGCCCCCAAGCCTTCCCAGCTGTTCCCACAGATGAGCCACGGGAACTAGGGTTGGGGAAGTAGCTTCCTCTCCTCGGGTGAGAACCAGGGTGCCCCAAGCCTAGGGGAGGGAAATAGAGCCCATGCATGGCCCAGATTCCAGGTCCCCTTTTTCCTTCTGGGTAAGAGGCTGATCCAGGATCTTCAATGTCCCCTTTCAGAAAGCAGCAGCCAAGAACCCTCGCCCATCTGGCCAACCCCCAAGGGCCTCCTCATGCCTACGGCCCGCCATCTTCTTGTTCTTCCTCCTCATTCAGACTATAGGCTTCTTCTGTTACTTGAACTTTGGGTAGGTCTTCCCATGAGTGAGACATGCTATACCACTAGACATCTCTTGATTCTGGGTCATAGCCATTCAATTTGAGAGATGAGGCCCTGAGGCCCAAGGGGAACATGGCTGGTCTACCAGCTGGCAAGGAGCAGCACCCAGGCTAGGACCCATGTTTCAACAAGCTCTACTGACCACCTGCTCAATAGCTGGTCCCACCTAAGTCCTGCCCTCACAGATCTCACTTGCTAATGTGAGAAACTGATGAGTAACTGAAAGTCACACCCTATCTGGTCAGTGCCACGATGGCAGGGAGCTCAGGGGCTATAACACTATGGGAAAAAAAGCACTTGACCCAGCTTAGGGAGATCAAGGAATTGACCTGGAAGGGACTCTGGATATGGGTCAAGATAACTAGGAGTTTTCTAGCCTTACAAGCTAAGTAAAGGCACCAGTACAGAGGAACAGGATGAGAAAAGGCATGGAAGCATGAAAAAAAAAAAAAAAAAAAAAGCACAATATTCTGGAGGAAACATGTCAAGTTCAGTGTCAAAGCAAAGGGTAGAATTAGTTTGTGAAACTGGGCAAAGAGAATTTAAAGGGTGGAGGAGGTCACTAAGTCTGCTTGGCGGGTGTTTGTTGAATGAATGAAACATTTAGAGATGGTGAGTGTGCTAAGGTGCTCAGAAATGGGATTGGCCGTCCATACTGGTGGAATTTCAAGACAAGAAGAATCAGTGCAATCTGGGATGCTCCTGGAGGAGTGAAGTGTGCTGAGCTTTTTTTTTTTTTTTAATGTTTTATTTATTTCTAGGAGAGAGAGAGAGAGACAGCGTGAGCAGGGGAGGGTCAGAGAGAGAGGGAGACACAGAATCCGAAGCAGGCTCCAGGCTCTGAGCTGGCAGTCAGCACAGAGCCCGACGCGGGGCTCAAACCCACGAACCGTGAGATCATGACCTAAGGGAAAGTCGGACGCTTAACCAACTAAGCCACCCAGGTGCCCCAAAGTGTGCTGAGCTTTAAAAGCAGAGTAGGAGAGGGGACAGCCTCCAGGTAAAAATAGCAAAGATAAGAAGTGGAAATGATGACAAGCCTATGCATTATGTGAGAGTTCAATGGTGCCCATAAGGCTGGAGCCACCTAGACAGACCTTGAATGCCAAGGAAAAAGTGTGGTCCTGATGGGGCAGGCCAAGAGAGCCATGGAAGGTCCTAGAATAAGGGAGGCTGTGATGGAGGAATGGTAGAGAGGTGAGTGTAGAAGCTTGGTTTCAAGAGCCCTGAAGGGAGAGATCCAAGTAACCTTCTTCTCCTTTCCCTGGCAGTAGGCAGGAGCTGGGCAAGAGCCTTCAGGACTGTTTGTCCACAGGCAGCTCTCCTCTGCGTCCTGCACCACGCATTCCTGGGGCCCTGGGGATTCTGAGGAGGCAGACTCTCTCCTCCAGCATACGCGCATGACTCACCTCAAAGCCCTGAAGGAATGTCACCAGGAGGTGGATAGTGTTCAGGGGCTGAGGGTTTGGCTGGTACCTTCTCCCTCTGGGTGCCCAGCTCCTGCCCACACTTAGTTTGGAGGTAGTTCCAATCTTATTAAAGGCAATCTACATCTCCCCATGCTCTGTTTGATACGCTCATTTACCTTCTGGCTTCATCTTAATTTCTCTGAAGGCTTTCACCTTCTCTGGATAGGTAGCTGGGAGTGGGCTCCAAGCAGGCAAGGACATCAGGGACTGGCTTGATTGCCAAAAGACCAGACACAAGCCTTGAGCCCTGGACTGTGGATCGAGAGGGAGTCACAACTGTGATAATTCTGTCCCCAGAGCAAAGAGTGGAATCTCCAGGTGCCCAGCCCAGACAGCATCACCATGAACAAGTCTCTCCCTCCCCACTTCCTGCAGCCCTAGGGGTCAGCAGAGCTGGCATGTGAGGGAGAACTCTGAGGCAACCCACGCAGACATAACTGGGATTCCCCTCTTTCTGGTCTCCCTCCCTTTCCCAGCGTCCAGCTCTTTGGGCAGCTGCTGGGGCAGCGGAGTGGGGAGGATGGTGTAGGGGCCAGGACTGGATCTTTGCCCCTTGCTGCCACTTGGATCTGCCAGCTGAAATCCTGGCCATCAGCGACCTGGGAAAGGAGGAAATGGGGGGAGAGTAGGAAACAGGGTTCTGGACGCGCATCAGTGCAGCCCCTCTCCCTGGGGAGCGACCCCACCCCGCGCAAGCCCTAATCCGTTGTCAGCAATGCCCAGGCGGAGCTTGGCGTTGAAGGAGGCACGTGGGGGAGGCGGGAGTGCGGAGCGGGCACGTGGTCCAGCCTCCTCAGCCCCGTGCATGCCCCCCGCCCCCCGTGAGGAGGGGTTTGGGGAGGTGGGGGCGGGACTGGGCGGGGGCGGGCAGCGGGAGGCTCAGAGCGTGGGGCGCGGGCCGGCGGCAGGAGCCGTCCGAGAGACCCAGTGCTGAAGTAGGTGCGGACGTGCCTGGCGCCCGCCGCCCGGTGCCAGGGCCAGCGAAGACCATGGCGTTCATGGTGAAGACTATGGTAGGCGGCCAGCTGAAGAACCTCACCGGGAGCCTGGGGGGCGGCGAGGACAAGGGGGACGGGGACAAATCGGCGGCCGAAGCGCAGGGCATGAGCCGAGAGGAGTACGAGGAGTATCAGAAGCAACTGGTGGAAGAGAAGTGAGTGGGATCCCTTCCTGGCTCCAACGACCTCCCCCTCCCAACCCCCTCCAGCCACCTTGCCCACCTCTAGGGCGGTTTCAGACCCTGAGCCCTCTCACACTACTTTTCTAGATGCGGTAAGAGGCTGGGTTGTGGTTTCTAGGCTGCCCCCAGAGCCACCCCTTCTCAGACCCAGGACCCGACCCCAGCTTCCTACTCTGGGCCCAGAGGGAGTGGGGGCAGGGGCAATAAGGACCTGGGATCGGGTGGGGGCACGTGCATTCTGATGAAACAAGTAATCTCTTAATCCGATCCGGCGCTAGCCGGCTGCATCTTCCAACTGGAGCTCTTCTAAGCCTGAGGCTCTGAGAAAAGTGATGAATCTGAGGGGCGCAGAATCTTGAGATGGGGCACTCAGAGATATTGAACCTCAATGTCTTCTTGTGTGCCAGGCAGTGCTGAGACAGAGAGGCAGCTGGGGCGGGATGGAGGGCTGGACCCCAGAGGTAGGCTGCTTAGGTTCAGATCCAGGTTTTGTATCTTTTTAGCTGGATGACTTTAAGCCAGTTACTTAAACCTTTCTGTGCCTCAATTTCCTCTTCTGTAAAGTGGTGATGGTAATCATAAAGCATGCCTTATATATTTCAAAAGATTAAATTATTTAACACATGTAAACTTCATAACACAGTGCCTGGCACATAATAAATCATTAAATATTAGCTCTTATTTTGCATAATCCTGAAAACAGTTCTGTGAGTTGCAAAAGAGGAAAATAAATGACTTATCCAAAGACATACCGAAAGTGGTAGTGCAGCCAGGACGTAAGCCCAAGTCTGTCCCGAATACTTACTCTCACAGGACACAATCTGTCAGGGAGGGAAAAGATAGGTGGAGCTGGAGGCCCAAAGAGACACATATTAGGGTCTGCAGAGTGAGCCAGACTGGCTGGCTCTCCAGCCCTAATAGTCCAGTGGCCGGTTCAGAGACACAAAGGACAGCTACGATGGGGGGAGAGGCAGCAAAGACTGGCCGAGGCCGGCCAGGTCAGAGCGCCCTCCCGACACACAGGCCAGCTGGCTGGAGCAAAACAGTCCGCACTGGGACACGAGGACCCCTCCGGCCCTTTCCTCTCCGGCCCTTTCCTCGCAGACCTCGCCCATTCTCTCAGCCCTTGAGATGACTTGGCCCCGGTGCCCCCTCCCCCCCCCCCCAGGATGGAGCGGGACGCGCAGTTCACGCAGAGGAAGGCAGAGCGGGCCACGCTGCGGAGCCACTTCCGAGATAAATACCGGCTGCCTAAGGTAAGCTTAGGAGCCTGGTCTGGCAGGCACATCTGGGACCCTGAGCTTGGGGCTCCTCGCTCTTTCTCCTGACTCTGGGCACCACAACTTTCAGCTCCTAAAACTCATGGAAAACTCATGGAGTTCTTGGTTGGATCCTTCGTTCTCTGACTCAAAGGCCTGGAAGCCCAGTCTTCCCAAGACTGATAGGTTTTTGTTTCTAGAGCCAATTGAGGCCCCTTCTCCCCCCCAACCCCACCATCCTTCCAACCCCCAGTCAGGCCCAAGCAGATGAAGAAGCAGAAGTCAGTAGATTTTACCCAAGGGTTGGGTACACTCGGAGCTCCTGAACACCCATGGAGGTTAAGGTGGGGAAAAGAATGCAGCACCCTCTATGTGCCAGGCACTTGACCTTCATGCCCTTATGTAACCCTTCAATAACGCTTCCAGGTAGCTATCATGCACACTCCAAATAAGGAAACTGAGGCTCAGAGAGGTTGAAGGACTTGTCAAGGCCACACAGCCAGCTAGTGGTGGAGCTGGGGTCAGAGCTCAAGGCTGTGAATACTGGACTCCTGGCTGGCTTCCAGGGTATGAAGTCTGTCTGCAGAGAGCAAAATACCTCTTGGTTGGCCAAGTGACCAGGAAGACATCCCCCATAGGCACTGCAGCAGTAGAGGGCATGTAAGTGTTTCCCAAGGAGGGAACTGAGGCACAAGCTACTCCCAGTGCCTAGAATCTTCCTCTTGAATTGAAAAATCAATGTGAACATTACATTCACTCATTCAACAAATGTTTACTGATCCCCTGGCTGCCTCTGATGTTCCACAGGGCACCAGTCTTCTGGAAGTCTCTCAGAGGGAAAAGCAGTCCAGAAAGCCTGGAAAGCTACTGAGTTAAACCCAGCTAAGAATGAAGTCATAAAAAAAAAAAAAAAAAAAAAAAAGAACCTACCAGGAATGGAGTCATTCCTCAAATGCTTGCACGAGCCTTATTATGAGACACAACTCCTGCCACATCAGGAAACTCTGAGTCTAGTAGAGGAGGGAGGACCTGGCTGTAACTGCATAGGACACAAAGTGGAAAGCCCCAGGGTCCCCACAGGGAAAGAGAAGTGCAATGGCAGTCAGTAGGTGTTGTATAAAGAGAACACAGATGTCAGAATCCATGATGTAGATGTAAAACGAACGTCCGTGCTTCCTCGTTGTGTGACCTTGCACAAGTTACTAACTTAAATTGAGTAATTTACTTAAACTGAGCCTCAATTCCTTGCTTGTAAAATACAGATAACAATACCCATCTCAAAGGGTTATTTTGGATGTCAGCCATACAGTAGGCATTTGATAAATTGTACCCATGACTATTATCAGTAACGTCCTCCAGTGTAATTAACGATAGTCAGCATGTGACTTGGCTGATTAGAACAGTTTGACTCCTAAGCATTTTCATTCTGTTTTATTCACGATGCCAGTGTCTTCAGTATCTCAGAGTGAAGTAAGGTGGTATAAAAGTGCATGGTCTCCATGTCCAAGTTGTCAAAACTTTGATCCTCGGGTTGGGGGTTGGGGGGCACTGAACTCACATGAACATTCAGCTTGAAAAATCTAGGGGCTGTTAGCCCAGTCCAGACCTCTTCCCTCTTCCCTGTCCCTTCGACTCTGGGTCTTCACAGACCTCCAACCGCACTCCACCCTCCCCTCTTCCCTTCAGAACGAGACAGATGAGAGCCAGATTCAGATGGCAGGTGGAGACGTGGAGCTGCCCCGGGAGCTGGCCAAGATGATTGAGGAGGACACAGAGGAGGAGGAGGAGAGGGCCTCCGTCCTCGGGCAGTTGGCCAGTCTCCCTGGCCTAGACCTCGGCTCACTCAAGGACAAGGCCCAGGCCACACTGGGGGACCTCAAGCAATCAGCTGAGAAGTGCTGCATCATGTGACTACTTCCTCTGGGGCTGCCCACTGGGGTGACCAGAGGGCTGAGCCCAAATGAGGGCTAAGAGCATGTCCCAATGTCCAGGGACCCCTACCCCATCTTAGTTTTGTTTCCCCTGTCCCACGCTAGCTCAGGACCCTTCCCATCTGTGGCCCAAGTCTGCCTTCTGGTCCCTCTGTCTCCACCAGGAACAAAGTCCCCATTCCCCACCTTTCTCCTCAGGACCCACCCTGTCTACTCAGCCCTGATAGGAATAGGCCCGTCCCTCTCTGGCCATCGCCCCAAGTTCCTGCACACAGGATCACACATACAATCACAGCTGCATCCTGGCACACGTGCACACACACACATGCGCACACACACACTCACACACTCACACAGGGTCTGTGGGCAGACACCCTCAGGAGACAAGAGCCCCAAGGTTGAGCCTCCACGTTCACTCTCCCTGAGAAAGCCACTGCTCTTCTTGGGTCTCATTTCATCACCTCTCAAATGGGGATGGACTGGGGAGTTTCTAACACTTTCTGGCTTGGCCTCCCTGGCCTTTGAAGCCAACCCCACACTACTCCTTGGGCAGGACAGCAGCTGTAGCCATAGCCTCAAGTGGCTGCCATTGTACTGTGAGCTCTGGCTCTCAGGAGCTGAGCGATGCTGTGTGAGGGGCTGAGCGCCAAGGATGAAGCTGGCACTGAACGGTAGCCCAGGCGGCTCTAGGCCATTTCTGGACCCAGGCCCAGGCAATTTCTGTTCTGTCCCTATAGAACTCTCTCCGGATTCCATAGCTGGATCTCCTCTCTCAGCTCAGCAAAAAATAAAAATTTGAAATGATGTACCTAACTTCTCACTTCTTATGGACCTCTAGGAGTCTTGGGGTTCATCTTGGGGTTCACAGCCCCACGACCCTCCTCAACCGTAGCTTCATAGGAATGCCAGAAAGCTCTACCCTCTGGGGTCCCTGGGCAAGGGCGGGGTCCCCACACTGACCAAGCACCAGGTCCAGCCTGGGGCCGGATGGACTAGGTCTGGGCTCTGAGGAGGATGTGGCAGCCAGCTGGATGGGGACGCAGCTGGGGAAGGCCAGGCCTCTGGGTCACTACTTGGAACTGCAGGAGGGGCTGTGGCTCAATCACAGCTGACTCTGGCAACTGCGCCTGTACCCCCTTCTCACCTTGGAGATGGAAGGTGTAACAAAAAGAAGACGGGGCAACCGCTTTCCAGTCCTGGCATTGCTGCGTGACTTAGAGCAGGACCCTTTCCCTCTCGGAGCCTGTTGTCCCTGCTGTGACATGAAGAACCACCCCCTCCCTAAATAATAATAATTTGTGTTTAAAAATTTTTTAATGTTTTATTTATTTCTGAGAGAGAGACAGCATGAGCAAGGAGGGTCAGAGAGAGAGGGAGACACAGAATCTGAAACAGGCTCCAGGCTCTGAGCTAGCTGTCAGCACAGAGCCCAGTGCGGGGCTTGAACCCACGAACCGTGAGATCATGAGCTGAGCTGAAGTCGGACGCATAACTGACTGAGCCACCCAGGCGCCCCAATAATTCGTGTTTTAAAGCTTTCTGGAAAGCCTTTGGCACAGGGTAGCCCATCAATAAATGACAACTCATTCCTTAACAAAAGAATGAGGAGCCCAGATCTCATCCTCCTTACCTGCGGGGGACCCAGGAAACCAACCAGGAGGCTCCACAACCAGGCCACCCAAGGGCCCTGAGCCCCAAGGTGCTACAGGCTAACCCCAAGTGTCCCTGCTTAGCACCAGCCTGTGGGGAAGCTAGCCAAGATTTCTAGACGGAACAGCCGTGTGAGGTTTGGTTTCAAGGGCAAAGCTTCTATTAGGTCTCCTTTGTAAAATAAGGACAAGAAATACAAAACCTGTTCAGTAGGTAATGCGGGGAGAAGCAGGTGGGAGAGAGAGAAGAAAGGGAGGATGAGGAATCAGGAGGGTGCGGATGGGGCGGGAGAGACACAGGTCCAGGACGGGGAGGCTCAGACTGTGACGCTGGGCCTTCTCTCCTGAGCATCTCTGGACCTGGGTCCCTGGGCAGACTCTAGATAAAAACCCATCCTGACCTTCTGGGAGCTGGAGGAGACCCAAGCTGGGGCCCCAGGCTGGGTGTGGAAGGGAGGGGTGCGTGGGCCTCCTCAGCAGCGTCAGCGGCAAGCCCCACGTCAGCACTCCACCCTCCAGGGGCCTTCTGCCTAATGGGATTGGACAGACCCCTTTTCCCTCAGTGGTTTGCAGGACCTGGAATGAAAGAGGCAGGGAGGCAGGCCATGCAGAGGCGGGCGGTTAGCACTCACTGAACCCTCACAAAATGAGCTGGTTGGGGCCTGGGGTCAGGGGGCAGGAGGGAGCTGAGCCCTCACATTGGTTTCTTCCTCATGCCTGGGAACCCCAGGAAGGCCCGAGTTGTGTGTCACTGGAATGGGGGGAGGTTCTGGGGCTCAAGGAGTGAGCTCTGGGGCTCAGGCAGAGATGGACGAGGAGGACAGGCTAAGGGGTCCCCAGGCGCTGCTGGCCTCTCCCTGCCTCCCCGTTTCCTTCCCCTGCTCTCAGGGTTTCTCTGTCAGTTCCACGTCCTCTTCATTTCTGTCTTCCCCGCCTTCTGCCTCATTCCTGGCTCATACCTGCCTCTACTCGTGCCCTCGGCTGGGGGCTGACGGCGACGCTGGGGCCTCCTCTGTACCGGCCCGCACTCTCAAGCCCTCGGCGTCTGTCTACATGACTGCTCTCTTCCCAGCCTGGTTCTGCTTCCGCCTGTCCAGAGGGTCACTCTGTCTGTGACTGGTCCGCCCACCTGGTGTGATGTGAGGGCCACAGAGAAAGCCACTTGCCCCAAAACTTCCCTGTTCGTAGCAATCAAAACCCTGTCATTAGGGCACCGTCGTTTAGAGTAAGCCATTTACCTCTCTGGGACTTTCCCTTTCTCTTGTTTTCCTTCCCTCCTTCTATCCTCTCATGCTTGCAGGCAGTCTGAGGATACAGGAGATGTTGAAAGGGGACGCACAGCCTCTGCGCGCCCCCCCCCCCCAGCTTTCAGGAAGAAAGCAATGGCAAAGATGGCCGGCCTGCTCCCCTCACTGATTCTCTGGCCCCATAATACTGGGGATTTCAGGAAGATTGGTGACCCCTGCCCAACTGCAGTCCCCTTCTTCAGCCTTCTACACACCCAGACGGCTCAGGCCTAGCTCTCAGAAGGAGTGGTACAGAGGGAAGCAGTGACTTTCAGAGGCCAGCTGGTCCCCAGGGAGAAGTTGGGAGGGTGAGGGGATTTGGAGGGGGCTTGGAGTTCAGAGGACCTCCCCTTCCCCCATTGGCCAGATGGTACCTCTTCAGACATGGAGGCCCCTGGCACGCACTGGGGACATTTGGGGGAATGTTCACTTGCTGAGCCTGAGATGCTGGCAGTGCCTATTGACCCAGCTGATGCCTGAGGCTGGGTTGGGGTGGGGAGTTGTGCGAGGGGAGCAGGAGGGAGCCACAGAGCCTGCTCCCCTCCCTCTAACCCTGTGCCTGCCAGGCCTAGCTGTTCCCAGAATCCTATGGGGTGAGACTCAGGGAGAGCAAGGGGGCCAGGATGGGCTGATCTGGGGGCCAGTGGCACTGAGGCTGCCTCAGCCTTACTCAGCAGGAACTATGCCTCTGTGTGTGTGATCATGAGCATAAATCCACGTGGGGTCTGCATGGTTCTGTGAACCTGAACATGGCTTTCTTGTTTTGGTTTATCTGCTGCCTGTGGCCTGTGTCTGTGTGTTTGTGTGTCTGTGAGATTTCAAGTGTGGATATGAGTTACTCTAGAGAAAGTGATACGCCCCTCCCCTCATGTCGCACCCTCACAGTTGGGCTATCTCCAATGGGTGAGGGCTGGGACAGCAGCTGGTTTCTGGGGACAAGAGCTCTTCTGGATGACCTTGTGCAAGGACCAACTTTCGATGTCCTGTCCTATGTCCCCACTTAGCAAAAGAAAGAGCAGGCACAGGGACACAGGGGTCCCTCAGTCTACTCCAGTGGTCCATTTGCTTCTCCCAGGGCTGGCTCCTTGGGAGAGGGGTCCAGGCTCAGGTGGTCCCCCAGCTTAGCCCGGTGCTGGCTCTGGGCTTGGAGGACTGAATAAAGGTGGAGGACAGGGCAGAGTGTGGGACACAGACACTGGGGCATATCTGCCCTGCTCTGCACACTTTCAAAGTGATAAAGGTGAGAGGTGGAAACTTCCTAGGAGGACTATATATATATATATATATATATATATATATATATATATAGCATATTTCCCATAGGTCTCTGCCATTCAAAGAGAACACTAGAGAGCGAGCCCCACCTCCTCTGGCTGGGCTGCCTCCCTTCTTAGCAGGTGGCTTAGACACAGGACAGCCGAGAGGTCATCTGCAGGTTTTGCTCAGGAAGGGCCCTTCCTCAGGGCCTCCTCCACTGGCCTCAGCCTCCCAGGCCTTTCCTATACCCAAGGTGAGGCCGCTCCTCTCCACACCCACATGTAACAGTTTCGGGCTCTTGTTCTTACACAGCCAATGCAGGTATCACAGTGGGGTCTCTGGGCCAACCTTCTAGCCCATCATCCTTCTGTTCGACTGATCTTTCAGTCCTGCCCTTCCTCATTCCCACTCTCTCTCTCCCATCCAGTCTTCTCCATTCACCTGCCCACTGGGTCCGACCATTCTTCTCCTTCCTTCCCCTCATTTTTCTCACTGAAGCTTTCTTGTGCAGCTCGTCCCCAGAAATATCCCACATTCCTCTCCCTAAATCTAAAAATTAACATTATTGAACTCGTACCATGTGTCAGGCTCACAATAACTCAGTCCTTACAAACTGCCATGAGGCGCTCATCTTCATCTTTTTTTTTTTTTTAATTTTTTTATTTATTTCTAGGAGAGAGAGAGAGACAGCGTGAGCAGGGGAGGGTCAGAGAGAGAAGGAGTCACAGACTCTGAAACAGCCTCCAGGTTCTGAGCTGGCAGTCAGCACAGAGCCCGACGCGGGGCTCGAACCCACGAACCGCGAGATCATGACCCAAGCGAAAGTCGGACGCTCAACCGACTAAGCCACCCAGGCGCCCCAATTCATCTTCATTTTACCAAGAAATTGGCTCATCTACGAGTCCCAACCTTCAGGGCCAAATGGCAGAGCCAAGGTCTTAACCAAGCCTTCTGCCCTCTGAGCCACTGCTCCACACTGCCCCCCAACGGCCAGGCCAAGGGCTTTGGGGAAATCAGGTCCCTCTGAGCCCTTCCAGTATGGAAAGTTGAGCATCTTGGTGGTATCTGAGAAGTCCAGGCAACTGCTGCCTTGGTTGCTGCCCCAGGGGATGGGCTTTAAGTCCCCAAAGATGCTCCTGAGACCTGGTAGGGGGAGAGTGCGGGGCCCCAGGGAGCTGGGTACGAGCACAAGATATCCTAGAAGACGCCCTTTGCCCCAGTCCGGCTCACTGCTCACTCACCGGTTCAGGGAAAGCGGGGAGAGGGAGGCCAGGGGTCCCGTCTGGGGCCTTCCCCCGCCCTTCCTCAGGTCTCCCAGCTTTTCCTGGGGCCTCTCCAGCCCCAGCCTGAGAACAGACGCTACCTCTCTTGTTTTTCCCCCAGCAAGAAGGGAGGCACAAGTTTAGAAAATAATTTAATAGAGAAACCATGAATTACATTCTTTACACCTAGCCTCCTGCAAGGAAGACAGACTCCTCTTGCTCCAAGGAGGCACTGAAGGGCACAAAGGTTAGAGATCATCAACATCCTTGTGGACTTTTTAAAAAGAACTCCCAAGTAACTCCACGTGGGTGCATTCTCCTCCAGATTAAAGTCACTACGCCCACATGGGGAGCTGAGGAGGTATTAACAGCGCCATTAGAGAGATAGGGAGACCCAAGCCCAGAAAAAGGAAGGGAGGCACCCAGGGCCACACACTGGGATAGCAGCGACATCAGACCTCCTGGACTGCCGGGTCCTCGGCAGCCTGATGGGTCAGGCGGCCCCCATGCCTGCCCCTTCCAGGCCAGAACCAGCTCTGTGGCAAATAGGGGCAAAGGATGAAGGCTGAGGACGCCTCCCCTTGTGCCCGAGCAGGAACAAGGCATGGCTTTCTTAACTTTGCCCACCCATACGAAGTACATTATTTTCACGTCTGAAGGATTATCTTACAATATTGAGAAGGTGGGCAGGAAGACTGGTGAGCTCTGTGGAGTGCATACCGTGGGGTGGGTGGTCCCTGAGGGGTCTTGGAGAGCCCCATTCCAGTGCAAGGAGGGAAGTGAGTTGCAATAATGGCTCCCTGGAAGGGCAGGGG